TGCGAACCAGTTTGTCGTTGGAGCAGCGAAACTCCTATGAGTTTAAACGGAGACAAGGCACCATGATGGGCAATGACGAATGTTCCTATTTCTCTTTCAGAAATTCAACGGCCAGGCAGGACAACTCGTCTGTCGGGTGCGGCGACGTCCGCCACGCCCACCAGCGCGGCATATTACAATTGTCTTACCACACGTACAAATTCGACATTCGACATCGGGAACGGTGTGTCCAGTTGTGCGGAATCGACTGACTTTCGTGATCACCGTCATAGGTTTTCCCTCCTCCGAAGATATCCAGCCTAAGGCAAAGTTCTTGCAGTGCGCTCGAGAACCGATCTAATCACCTCGTCATTGATTCTCCTAATGTTCTTGTTTCAGCCGGTTATCGTTCTGATCCCACGGTCATTCGAGGTGCGCTCCGCCCAAGATTGCGCTTTGAGTGAGGGAGGATAAAACTTCGTAGTGACGCGCAGGAACTAGTCGAGTATTCCCGAGTTGGCTGGCGCCTTCACGTCAAATCCATTCGGTTCAAATGCCGCGCAGATGAACTCACTTATGCCGCGTCGCTGAAACACGCCTTCTGGAGTGCACCCCTAAGCACTATTGCCTCTTCACTTCCTTTCGAAATTCGGATCATGGTTAGATCGAGATTTTCCTGTAGAGTTGGCCAAAACATCGCTTCTAGGGGTAATCTGACACAGAAGGCACGATCTTTGCTTTGCTTTGAGTGAAGACGCCTAGCGTCTGCTCCATAGGCCAGTTCAGGCGTCGGAACCCGTAGCGCAGGTACCAAGCGTTTTCGCGCAAAGCATGTGCCATTAGTCCATAGGGAGTGGAACCACCCTTTGGGACAAGTTTTCAGCACAGCCTGTGTTGTGAGCCTTTTGGTGACGACTATTGCGGCCAAGAGGACGCAAGCAAGCGGATGTGTTCGTCGTGATCAGGGTGTCAGGTAAGCCAAACGGGAAGAAATTCCAGCTGCTTTATTTCCTGGTAAAAATCCAGTCAAAATCTGGCCTCAGTTCGAAGAGAGGGCAGTAAATGGTAAATAGTGCCCACCCCTTCAGATAATCTTTTTATGGCTTTATTCAGGACCCAGAAAAGGGTTTAGCGCGATCATTGACGTTGACAAATGGTGTGACAATGATCGTTGGTTGTATTATTGGATCGGGAATATTCGTAAGTCCTACAGGAGTTCAAGAAGGTAATTATAATATTTGAATTACGACGATGCATTTAATGTAAATTCCGTGGTAATCAGATGAGCGGAGACTCACAACCATCGTGGCTTCCTGATTGGTGCGCTCTCACTTGTAGTGCGGTGAGATGGTGCGGCTTGCCGTTGAGGAAGATGCAACGGTTATGAGTCTCCGCCCATCCGAGTGCGGAATGTCTTTTCAAGCTACGTTCTCAATCTCAGTCTCTCTGCCTTTTGAAATGCTCTCTTCAATCTGGCGACCTAAAGTTGCATGATGATGAAGTACAGGAAATTAAGGGGTCGATCGCGGGAATAAATTAAGGGGTCGATCGCGGGAATATTGTCTGCTGTCTTCAATCTGGCGACCCTAAAGCTGCATGACGTAGAGGGAACTAAGGGGATCAATGGCGGCAACATAATTTCCCGTCCACATAGATTCTCAGTAGAGCAAAACTGTGGAGCACGCTTAAAATTTAGCGCAGAAAAATTGAATTGGAGGCCCGCACAAGGTGTAAAATGGCGCGTTGTAGAGGAACAAACAAAACT